GTTTGATTCCAAGGGCACACATGGTGGAAGGAGAGAACTAATTTCTGCAAGTTGTCCTCTGACCAGCGTGCATGCACACGTACATGCACATACACACACACAGACACAAAATGTGATTTTTAAAATCTTATAAGACTAGAGAGATGGTGTGGTTCCAAGAGTGATTGCTGCTCTACCAAGAAACCAGATTCTTCCAGCACCTACATTGGGTCGCTCATAATCACCTGTAACTCCACCTCTAGGGAGTTCAGTGCCCTCTTCTGGCCTCTGTGGGCAGTCACATGCACATACCCACACACAGACACCCATACATTACACATAACTAAACATAAAATATTTTTTTAAATCTTTAAAAATTGGATGGATTTGAAAGTAAAGATATATTGGAAAACAAATGCAAATCTTTCACCTCTATATTTTGATGTTAATAATACTTAATGGTCATTAATAACTGACGATTGATATATGCCACAGCTGACTGCAACAAAGTATCAATGTGTAGCAAAGCCTGGAGGCACAGATTTCTTAGTGACGCAAAAGGCTGAGATAGGAGGATTGAAAGTTCAAGGCCAGCCTGTGTTAGAGTGAATTCAAGTTCAGCCTAAGGAACTCAGTGAGACCCTGTCAAATGAAAAGTACAAACAGTGCCTCGGATGTATTTCAGTGGTAGGGCCCTTGCCCAGCATGTGCTGTATCCTGAGTTCAACCCCCAGTACTGAAAAATAAACACACTAGAGCTGAAAAATCTGACTTTCAGATCTTTTTAGATCTAATATTGCATGATTACAAGTAAATTTCACCCTGCCATTTTCAGTATAATGTCAAGCTAAATTTAAAAAACAAAATCAAAGATTTTTGCAAAAATAATTGAGTAGCAGAATGAACATTGCAATGAGATGTATGCTGTAATAAACTATGGGCACATGCAAAGAGGTTGAGGCAAAGGGAAGTTTTTAATGACAAATGGGAACTAGATTAGATATTTTGAAACAATAATTCTTAGCCATAGTGATTACTAAGAAAGGTGTGAGGTTTCAGAAAGTTAGATTTCAGAAAGCCAAAAGTTACATCATTTTTAGACTTAAATTCTGATTTTGGGGGAGAAAAAAAATGAGATTGAGCACAACTTCAAAAAAAATTATTTGACCTAATTTTAGAATTGATTATTAGTAGTTGTGTTGAAGTGACAAAACACTCCATTTTGTTCTCGCTGACTTTTCCTTTACCCCATCTTTTTGCCCAGCCATTCGCACTGTAGCCAGCCAGCCATGAAGGCCACATCCATAGTTTCATGGGAGTACATTGTTTCTATAATACTGGGAAACTTCCAACTATCCCAGTGGCACATCCAAGTAGAATGTCATCCTCTTTCCCAGGTATTCCTGCATCTTCATAGAGCCCATTGTCTCTGCATTGTCTCTGCAATTCTGAGAAAAATTTTTTTTTCCTAACCAAAACTTTTTGTTAACTGAAAAACTGTTTGCTAAATGACCTGACCCTTGTCTGATGTAACTATGGTGATCTAATGTAACTATAGTTCTTAGCTTTGGCCCTGGCATGATGTAATTATGGTTTTAGGCTTTATAAACCTCACTCTGCCTTCCCTTGGGGTCAAATTCTTTTGGGTGTTAGCCCCCTCTCTGACAATTAATGAAGGATTCCTAATTCAGCCAGCACTATGTGGCATTCTTCTGTGCCTCTTGCTTGGTATTACAATATGACTTAGGCAATGGTGTATGAGTTTTATCAAGCATGGTGACACATATCTGTAATTGTAGTGCATAGGAGGTGGACTCGGGAGGTCAGGAGTGCAAGACCGTCCTCAGCTACATAGCCAGTTCAAAGCTAACCTGGGTTATGTGAGACCTTGCCTCAAGAAAACAAAAAACAAAATTAATCCCAGCACTTGGACTCAGAGGCAGGCAGATCTCTGTGAGATAGAGGCCGGCCTAGTTTACATAGCAAGTTCCAGACCAATCGGGACTGCCTGGAGACCTCTCAAAAATACAACAAAAAGAAAAGAAAATACATGAGCAGACCACAAACTGACTTCTCCTGGAGCAGGACTGCAGCAATTGTCAGAGTTACTGCTATGCAGTTACTGACTTAAAATAAGTAAAGCAAAAAAATTTTGGTTGTTGTAAATCACAGAGATTTTTGACACTGTTATAATGGCATAGTCTCATACTTAAGTAAGCCCACATATTAGTGGCTTAAAGGCTAAGTGTACTGTAGGACAATAATATTTAAGTGTCTATTTAATATGATAATATAATCACCAAACTGCTCAACGATATGGCATGGTGGTTTGAATAAGAACACCCCAGTTGGTGGTGGTGTTTTGGGAGGTCTTAGAAGGTCTGACCATGTTGGAGGAAGCACGTAACTGGGGTTGGGCTTAGAGAGTTCTTAAGCCTTGCCAGATCTCCAGTCACCCCCCTGCATCCTGTGCCTGCTTGAAGATGTGAGTGCTTAGCTTCTGCTCCTACTCCAGCCACCTCTGCCACCATGACTGCCCACCATGATGGACTCTTTCCCCTTTGGAACCATAAGCTAAATAAGGTCTTCCTTTTAAAATTTCCTTTGGTGATGGTGTTTCTATCAGAGCAACAGAAAAGTAACTAATACAGATGGTAAACATCTATTTAAATTTTGTGTTAGAAATGTAGGAGTAGGGCTGGAGAGATGGCTCAGCAGCTAAGAGCACTGGTTCTTGCAGGGGACTCGGGTTCAATTCCCAGCACCCACATTGAGGCTAACAGCCATCCTCAACTCCAGATCCAGGGAATCTAACACCCTTTTCTGACCTCCGCAGACATTGCACGACGTGGGCGAACTTCCATATATGTGACACGGATGCACTTCTGTACATGCAGGTAATACATTCAGAATACACATAAAATAAAAATAATAAAATGTTTTTAAAAGTAGGGGCTAGTCAGGCATGGTGGCGCATACCTTATTCCCAGGACTCAGGAGATAGAGGCAGGATGTTTTCTGTGCAATCAAGACAAGTCTGGTCTACATAGCAAGTTCCAGTCCAGCTGGAGCTACAGGGAGACCCTATCTCAAAACAAAAGTGGTTAAGAGCATTTCTTGCTGAGGACCAGAGTTCAGATTCCACCACCAATGTCAGACTTCTTACAAACTCCTGTAACCTCAGCTTCATAGAGACCCAATGCCTCTGACTTCTGTAGGCACCTACATTCATGTGCACAAACTCATACACAGACACACACATACACACACGATTTAAAATAACATGAAAAGTAATGAAAATGAAAGTAATCTCATGCTGAGTGTAGTGACACACACCTTTTACCCCAGCACAGATCTCTCTGAGATCAGGTGCATCTCTTTTGAGTTTAAGGCCAACCTAGTCTGCCTAGCAAATTCAACCTACCAGGGCTATATAGCAAGCCCCTGTCTCAAGCATGGTGACACATATCTGTAATTGTAGTGCATAGGAGGTGGACTCGGGAGGTCAGGAGTGCAAGACCGTCCTCAGCTACATAGCCAGTTTAAAGCTAACCTGGGTTGTATGAGACCTTGCATCAAGAAAACAAAAAACAAAGAGAACACAATAGTGGAATATACCCAAGGGTCAGTGGTGAGCATCACAAGAAGTAGAACCATAATAGCTATAAAGATAAAGCCAGGCATGGTGTTGTCCACCTATAATTGCAGCACTTGAAAGGCTGAGGCAGGGGGATCAAATGTTCATGGCCAACTTGGCTACATGGGGAGTTCTAGGACAGCTTGAATCACATAGTTAACCCTGCCTTAAGAAGCAAAATAAAAACTAACAGCTATGTATATGATTTTGTAGTAAGTACAAAAGAAAGTATGCCATTAGTTTACATTTTCAACAGGTTTAAAAGAGCTTTTACTCTACATTGCTCAAAGATTTTAAAGTTTGAATAAAAATATTTTGGTATACTTTATCTAAACAGCTCTTCTTCATTAAGATTGTAAGAGGGATTATAAGGTGTGCTGTACAGGTTTACAGGCTGTAAAATGAAAATAAAGTAATAAAACTTCAAAGGAATTCCTGCTATTTATAGGTCGCATGGATGTGAAGACATAATTTGACCATAAGCGCAGTGCATAATCTTGTTTGTGAGATTTTTCTTAGAAAAAGGATTATAGTCCATTGCAGGCAGTTTAGAAATTCTTGGCAAGAGACTTACAGATTGGTGGATAAGCAGTTCCTTTCCCTTTCTATGTCCCCTAATTTTCCTTGCCTTTCTATCCTACCTCAAAATGAGCTTTGCTTTTCCTGGCCTTATGAGAGACAAACCTGTGGTTTGCATTGCACACACAAATGCTTCAGTACCAGGAATTATTCATTAGATGTAAAGATGTGATAAAAAGATAAGCTTGGGGTGAAGAGATGAGAGACAAACCTGTGGTTTGCATTGCACACACAAATGCTTCAGTACCAGGAATTATTCATTAGATGTAAAGATGTGATAAAAAGATAAGCTTGGGGCTGAAGAGATGGCTCAGTGGTTAAGAACACTGACTGTTCTTGCAGAAGACCTGGATTCGAATCTCAGCACCCACATGGCAGCTAACAACTGTCTGTAACTCCAGTTCCAGGGGATCCGACAGCCTCTTCTTT